GCGCAGCCACACACCCGACAGTGGGCGCAAAACGCCCAGCCCTCAAGGCCCTCGCGCACAGCCGCCTGACAATCGGTGAGGACGACAAGCGGCAGCTTCCTCCCGGCCCTCCAACCTCGGACGTCCCGACCCTCGTACCTTGGCCTGCGGGTTGATCTGGTGGAGGTCGTAGATCAGCTGCGCCAGGTCCTCGATGGAGTAGATGTCGTGGTGCGGGGGCGGGCTGATCAGCGGCACGCCGGGCTTGGAGCGGCGCAGGGTGGCGATGTAGGGGGACACCTTCTTGCCGGGCAGCTGCCCGCCCTCGCCAGGCTTGGCGCCCTGGGGGGGGGGTGGGGTGGGGGTTGGGCGGAGGGGTGGTAGGTTCGTGGTTGGCGCAACACGAGGGCGCAAGGAACACAGACAGGTGGCATCGAGCAACAAAGCAAAGGAGGCGCGGCTGGGCGAATGGCGCGGCCCAAAACTGGCGCTTCGCCGCGGCGGGCGTCGGCTGCGCGTGTCATGACCGGACCCACGCACATCCTCGTCCGCTGCTGCTTCTCATGCAAGCCCCCAAGCCGGGCGACGCGGATGCTCGCTCGTGGCTATGTACTGCATGCACATGCACCCGAGTGAGCACATGCGTGTGCCGCGGGCCACCCCAGGCAACCCAGGAAGCTGTCGGCTGCCCCGGGGTGCCCCCGCGTCTTCCGCTGCCCCCCCACCTGTGCGACCTTGATCTCCAGCTGGTCAGCGTTGACCAGGAACTCAGGGGTCACGCCAAAGCGCCCAGACGCCACCTGCTTGATCTTGCTGGTGGCGGTATCACCATTCTGGAGACGGGGGGTGATCGTGCGGGTGTTGGGGGAAAGAGGCGGGAGTTGAGGTGGCACAGGGCACGCGTACAGGTCAGTTGGTCGCATGGCGGCAGGTCCAGCGCGCAACGGGCGCGGAGGCCCAGAGCATGCAGACGCGTGCACCACCCATGCGCGGCCCACCTCCAGGCCGCGCAGGTAGGGGAATGTGGCGCTCTTGCCGTCCTCAGTGGCGTCCTCCAGGGTGGTCCAGCGGATGGGGTCCTCACCACCCTCGCCGCTGACAGGGGCGTGATGGTGATGCGGAGCAAACAGGCGTTTCAGCTTTGGGTCGGAGCGTGCATTAAATCAGCAGGCTCTTGCGCCCAGCAGGTTGCCGCCCGAGCACTGCAGCCGTGCGTTGAGGCAAACTCCCGCTGCAGTCCACTTGCGCCCGTCGCCAAGGCCCTCCGCCCGCCTCCCCCCACCTGTTGGACTTGCCCCCGATGCGGTTCATGGCGATGGCGATGGTCTCGTGGGTCTCCCTGCTGATGGCGCCCAGGGACATGCCGCCGGTGCAGAAGCGCGCCATGATGGACGCGGCCGGCTCCACCTGGGGACAGGAGGGGCGTCAGATGGCAGGAGGGGGTGTCAGGGGGTGTGAGAGTGCGCCGGGCGGGAAGGGGGAGGGGAGCGCCCAGGGG